TGTACGACACCGACTTGCGCCCGCCCACGCCGCCGTCGCTACCGCCTCCAGGCCCTCCCGCGCCGACCTCCCACCCTCCCCCACGTAGGCGGCACCTCATCAAGTCGGACCAGCTGCTCTCGGAGCAGCACGTGCGCCCCCTCGCCGCACGGCTGATCACTGCCGCAGGCGGGCGCCCCTCCCACCTCGCTCGGCCGCCGCGACAGGCGCGCTTCTTCGCGTGGCAGCTGCTGCGCGGCCTCGCGGCGCTGCACTCTGCGGGCGTCATCCACAGAGACATCAAGCCTTCCAACCTGCTGGTCAACGCAAACTGCGACCTCAAGATCGCGGACTTTGGCATCGCGCGCGGCGTCGGGCCGACCCGCGCCGCCGCCGCCCACGCCCACGCCGTCGCCACCGCCGCCGACGACGGCGGCGCGGGCGCGGCCCTGCTCGCTTCGGCCGCGACAGAGGCGGGCGAGCCGCCCGATGGTGACGTCGGCGGCAGCGCCGGTGAGGGCCTCTGGCGCCTCTCTCTTCCCAGCCGACTCACGAGTCTCGCCCGACGCGCCCGCGCCTCGTGTCCGCAGTCGCCACCCCGCCGCTGGACGAGTCTACCCGCGCCTCGTCGACAGAGCCCGCCTCCGCGCCGACCTCGGTCGGCGGCGCGTCGGAGGATGACGAGTGCGGTCTCTTCACGTCGTACGCGGTGACGCGGTGGTACCGCCCTCCAGAGCTGCTCTGCGGCAACCGGCGGTACGGCCCGGCGATCGACCTCTGGTCGGCGGGGTGCGTCTTGGGCGCAGCTTCGCCGGCTGCGGGTGCGGAGGAGGGAGGGGCGGAGCAACCGAGGCGTGCGAGGGAGTGTAGGCGAGCTGATAGGCCGCGCGCCGCTGTTTGCGCGCCGCGACCACATGGAGATGCTCCGCGCGATCAACGCGCAGCTCGGCAGCCCGGGCGAGGGCGCGCTGCGTTCCATTGAGGACGACCGCGCGGTGCGTGGCCCCCCCGCGCTGCGCCCTCTTCGTAGCCCGCGCCGGGGCGCGGTCCCAGCCGGGCCCTGCCGGTTCCACTCGCGGCCCCGCACGCTGTTTTCGTCGGTGACATGACGTCTTCCCGCACTCGTCGGCAGGTGCGTTTCCTCCGGAGGATGCCGCCCCTCCCTCCTCGCGCCTGGGCCGACTCGCTCCCCGGCGGCGCGCCCGGCGGCCTCGACCTCCTCGACCAGCTGCTGCGGTGGGACCCAGCGGACCGGCTCTCCGCCTCCTCGGCCCGCCACCGCGCAGGCTCTCGCCCGCCGCGGGACGCCGCCCCGCACGACGCGCCCCGCCGCACGTCCGTAGGCCCTCCGCCACCCCTGGATTTTGCCGCTCGCGACCCCGGCCGATCTGGAGCCGCTGCCGCCCTGTCCGTTTGACTTTGAGGGGCTGCCGCCAAACCTCGACTACTTTTATCTCGCGGCGCTCGACGCGGCGGCAGAGACGAACGCGGACGCCGGCTACACCTTCCGGCTGCCCGAGCTTCTTCGCTTCGGCATCCTGCACGACCGGACTGTCTATCCGGTGGGCGCTGACGCGCCGCCGGCGGGGGCGGCAGAGGAGGAGGAGGAGCGGCCCCTCTTCACGCTGGACGCGTCGCCGCCGGCCCCCAGGAAGAAGCCGTGACGCGCCGCGCGGCGCGTAGAGGTGCGCGTGTGTCAGAGAGGTGCGTCAGAGAGTCATGCCATGTCGCTTGCGTCGGTGATGGGTGCATGCACCGCCTCTCGCACTCAGGCCCTCACCATTACGCATTAGCATTTCCATTACGCGGCGGCTCTTCCGCTCTGGCTCTGCGGCAACAGCGCCAACAGCAACACACAGAAATCAGAATAACCAGAAAGGTCCTCGGCGGATCAGTTTCTTACTGGGAATCTTTGTGCTGCTCTCTGTGGTCTCCACACAAACTGCTACACAAACACCGCACAGAGTCGAGAGTCGAACGTGGTGGGGCGTGGGGGGTGGGGCGTATAGGCCGTAGCCACGTGAACCCCGGCCCCCTTCGAACACGAGACTCGGGGTATGACTGAAGAGACGAGAGAGGGGAGGACACAGGAGAGGAGAGGAGAGGAGAGAGGAGTGGCGAGGAGACGAGAGGAGACGAGACGAGACGAGACGAGACGGGAGGGGAGGAGACAGGAGAGGAGACGAGAGGAGAGGAGACAGACGAGACGAGACGAGAGGAGAGGAGAGGAGAGAAGCGGAGAAAGGAGAGGAGTGGAGTGAGAGGAGAGGAGAGGAGAGGAGAGGAGACGAGACGAGACGAGACGAGACGAGACGAGAGGAGAGGAGAGGCGACGAGAGGAGACGAGAGGAGAGGAGATCTCGCTGGAGCCTCCTTCGGACGGCGAGGACCCGCCGCCGCCACCGCCGCCGCCGCCGCCGCTCCCATGCAGCGTCGATGGCGAGGACGGCGAGTCGCTGCGCGCCGCGATCGACGCGGTGCTGCCCGAGCACGAGGCGACAATCCTCGCGCACTACGAGACGTACTACGGCGCAAAGGGCGATCGGCAGATCAGGAGCCTCCGCTTCCTCGACAGATGCGGCAACCAGCGCCAGGGAGAAACAGCGCCAGGAGAAGCGCGACAGACAGGAGCGATTCGGCGGCGCCGCCGCTGCCGCGAAGCCTCAAAAGAAGAAGAGCCGGCGGGGCGGTCGAGGCAAGCGGGGCCGGCAGGCTGGCGAGGAGCCCCCGAGCCCTCAGCCGCGCCGCAGCCGCCGCCGCGGGGGAGGGGTGCAGTAGAAGAGGGTAATTGGCACCTGCAGTTGTAAGTACGTGTTGCCATGCACATTTTGCAGCTGCTGCGAATGAAGGACCAGAGGGAGTGGCTGATAGCGGGTGTTGCGTGTGTCTCGCCCCGCAGCCCCGAGAGGCCGGAGAGCCACCGCACAGCAGTGCACGCCACGGTGGCCGAACTTGTGGCCGATCTGCCACACAGCGCCGGTTGATGTACACTCTGCGTACGCAATCGCTGCCGGCTATCGCCTACGGAGGCAGTGCACGCCCTGTCCGCTACGCGATGGCGAGGCAAGCCATCGGCGGCATCAGAGGGCGAGGCAATGGATGGCACATCGCACCGCCTCGGAGTCAGACACGCCATGGGCGGAACTAACATGTCAGGCTGTAGACCGTGAGTCGCAAGCTCTGCTCTGCTCTCATAGATGGTTGATGGACAATCGGCATGGCGGACGAGCCTCCCCACTCTTCTGGCGTGTTGTGGTCCGCCGGCTTTTCTGGTGTGTTGTGGTGCGACGACCGAGTGCTGCTCGCTCGAGGGTCGAGGCCGCCGCCCTTTGCACGCGGCGCTGAGGCGTGATGAGGACACATGCGGATGGCGCACGACACTCGGCGGCCATCGGGAGGCGCCAGCTCCGCGGTGGTGGCGGCCCGTGGCCGCAACGTAGTGGTGTGGCGCTGAAGCTAGCTCCGGGACGTACGTATTTCGATAATTATGAACGATTTAGTCCAGAAACATCGTACCAAAATCACACGGCATGCTCAGAACATCGAACCGGCCCAACGATGTGCCGCGGAGCGGCTATCTAACGCTAGATTGGGTAGCCGGCACAGTATGACACGTGAAACTACTCAGGGATATGGGACAAAAGCGTCGAAAATGTCCCAAAGAAGCGTGACTCGAGTTTGTGGCAGCCCCGCAGCCGGCGCGCGCTGCCAGGAAGCACCGCTCGCGTGTCGGCGGCACTCCCTGGCACCCAGTGAGTGCCGCGAACCGACCAGACCGAACAGGCTCGACGCCGCGCTCGCTGTGGGGCTGCCACAAAGTCGCCGCCGAGCGTGCCACCGAAGGCGTCCCGTCGGAGGTGATGGAGTGTGAGACCTGAGGCTGCGGAGGTGACGCCTGAGGTACCGGCCCGTGCACAGCGACCCAGCCGGCGACCGCCACGGGCTCAGGCGAGACTTGTCGACGCGTTCCGGCTCAGCTTCACCGTGGTCATCGGGCGTCTGTCGACGTCAGGACCACCCATACAGCTCGCGGGTTTGAGGTCGCAAGAGCCAAGATGGTGGCGTTTGGACATCCCAACCATCACACAAGACAGCCTGTAGGTGATGGCGGGACGGCGCAGTGTTTGTGGCACTCGGCAGTAGGCACCCGCGGCACGGCCCCGCTGTCGGCTCTCGCGGGCTGCGGAACCGGCCCCAGAAGGGGACGGTCCGGGCGAGTGTGGCAGCTCCTGCGCTAGCATGGGCACCCTGTATCATAGCACTACTGATCCTGGTCATAAGAGCTGCCAGGAATAGCGTCAGGAGCCGGTAGGAGTCAAAACCCCTCATATTTGAGACATCGTGCCTTGCGCTAAAGTCGCACTATATACGCACTCGAACACGCACTAAATAGCGCACTAAACTATCACTAAAGTTCATTCACACGCACTAAATTAGACCCAGGCGCCCTCCGTGAGGCAAATGACTGCACTCCCAGGCTGTCATGGCATGCTGGCTTTCGCGCGGCTGCTCGACGGCGCGTGCGTATAAAATTTTGCGTTTTCCATTGAGATTGCATCTGCCCGCTTTTTTGGCCAGTGTGTGTGCGCTGCGTGCGTGCGCGGTGGGCGTCCGGAAAATTCTTTTTTGGCAAGGCGGAAGTCTTCGGCGCGCAGCATCGCAAGGCTCGTGCCGCACCGTAGATCCGCCCGAGGCCGCGCGCGCCCATATCGGCAGAGCTGCGCACAGTTACCCACCCCGAGACGGGCCGGTCGGCGCGGCCTGCTCGGCCTCCGCGGCTGCGAACCGAGGCGGAAGAGCCGTCTGCGGCGTAAAAGTCTTTTCGCGTGTTAGTGCCAGTGCGCGCCCCGTGCCAGTCCAGTGTCCTGCCCCATGCCTGCCCCCAGTATAACGAGGCCGCGTCAGCACGTCAGTCGTCACCCGCCCCGAAACCCAGGGCTGGATTCGGGACAAGGGCTGTGTTTACCTGTCAATGGAATGAAGAAGAGAGAATGCGACTACTGACGTACGAACGTACGAATGTACCGGGAAATCAAAACGGTGTCGCAGGAGCGCGCTCCCTGTACACGGCGCGCTGCGCTGTCACATACTGCTATCACTGGTGCCAAGCGGCGAGCGATCACAGGGCGTGGGGCGCTGCCCCTCACTCATGCCCGCTCGGCCACCTCAGCCCGGATCTTCTCGAGCTCCACGTCGCGCGCCGCCACCGTCCCCTTCAGCTCCGCCACCTGGTCGAGCGCGTCGCCGAGCAGCCCCTTGGCCACGCCAAAGTCGCGCAGCTGCTCCACGCCGCCGCTCGCCCGCACCTCTGCGGCGTGGTCGGCCACGAAACGGCGGCACTGCGCGAGGAGCCGCCCGTCGCCCAGCGTGTGCGCCGCCTCCAGCAGCGGCACGGCGGTCGCCGGCGCGACGCTCTCCTGCAGCGCCTGCGCGCAGAGCAGCTCGAGGCGCGGCACCTGGTACATCTGCACCAGCTCCCGCAGGTCGAGCGCGCGCTGCGCCCTGCCGCCCTGCTCCTCGCCGAGGTCGAACTGGTCGGTGAGGAGGTAGCGGACGAGGGCGGTGAAGCTGGCGAGGTCGGTGTTGGACACCGTGACCTCGGCGGCGTCGCGCTCCTTCATGCCGGTGCCAAACATGGTCCGAAAGACCGGGGACCGAACGCAGAGCATGTTCTTGCTGACGTGCTCGTATCTCTCCAAATGGTCGCCGACCAGGAAGGTGACTTTGCCCTCTGGCAGGGTGGCGTCGCCGCACATCTTGCCCATGTCGGCGGAGAAGGTGGAGGGCGGAACGACGATCGGGGCAAAGGAGGGAGGCGGAGGAGGCGCCGCCACGCAGACCTGGCGGAGGCCACCTTCCGAACCGACCGACAGCGTGCTGCCGTCGGAGCTGATGGCGACTTCTTCTGGGCTGGCGAACCCCGCCGCGTCGCCCACGCCGTCAGCGCTGCCCTCTGTGCCACTGCCCGCGAGCGTGGTCACCGCGCCAGTCGCCACCTCAACCCGCCGGATCTTGTGGTTGTCGAGGTCCGCCACAAACAGCGCGCCGCCGTCTGGGATGACAGCGATGCCAGTTGGGCCGCAGAACTGCGCCGCGTCGCCCACGCCATCCGCGTCGCCATTCTCGCCGCTGCCCGCGACCGTTGTCACAGCGCCCGTCGCCACCTCAACCCGCCGGATCTTGTGGCTGCATTGGTCCGCCACAAACAGCGCGCCGCCGTCTGGGCTGATGGCGAGGCCAGCTGGATTGTAGAACTGCGCCGCGTCGCCCACGCCATCCACGTCGCCACCACCGCCGCTGCCCGCGATACTCGTCACCTCTCCCGTCGCCACCTCAACCCGCCGGATCTTGTGGTTGTCGCCGCAGTCTGCCACAAACAGTGCGCCGCCGTCTGGGCTGATGGCGATGCCAGCTGGTTCGTCGAACTCCGCCGCGTCGCCCACGCCATCGGCGCCGCCTTCTTCGCCGCTGCCCGCGAGCGTGGTCACCTCGCCAGTCGTCACCTCCACCCGCCGGATCTTGTCGTTGCTGAAGTCCGCCACAAACACAGCGCTCCCGTCTGGGCTGGCGGCAACGGTGTAGGCCTCACTTGCCGGCAAGGCTGCTACGCGGCGCACGCGCCCGGCCGCCGAGACGTGCAGCAGCGAGTCCTTAGTCGCGACGTACCAGGCGCCCGCGTGGTCGCTCGCGACGCCAGCCGGACCGACGATAGAGGGCCGTCCTCGCCCTCGAGCGCCAGCGTGGTGACCTGGCCGACGATGCGCGCGCCAAAGAGGGGCGCCTCGAAGCCATCCGCGACCGGCACGGGCTCCTCGTCCGCCTCGCCGCCGCCGCCGGTGCGGGCGCGCTTAGCGCAGGCCATATGTTGCAACCTGGATTCGGGACACGGGCTGGGTAGGGTGCCAGTGACCTGGAGCGCGTTTTCGCAAGACAGCTGTCCGCGTACACACATTTTCAAGAGCTCACGGCCGCGCCGCCTTCAAATCTTAAATTCGGCTTGCCTCGCGCCGTGGCGGCCAACCCTGAACAGGACCGACGCGACCTTTTTTGGCTGCGCGCCTCACCAGCCGTGCTTTCAAGACCTGGGCTACGTGGCGTGCGTACTCTCGTGGTGGCTAACCAGCTTTTGGACACGCGAGCTCGGCACGAGTAGAGAGGGAGTTGTTATAAAATTCTTTTCTCGTGTACGTGCCAGTGCGCCGCTAGTCCCGTGCTCAGTGTCGTGCGAGAAAGTATCTAAAATTTTGCTGAAGTCGATTTTACTCGAGCACGCGCGCCGAGTTGTGCGTCTAGTGTTTGTTCGCGGTGCCTCGACAGGCCGTCGATTGCATCCCATTAGTTAGGCAGCCTGGGAACGGTGACGGTCAGAGGCAAAGCCTACGAGGGGTGGTGGAACCACATGTAAAAAAACTGTTCAGTTTTCAAAGGCAAAACACAACGCTCTGCGGTTGGTGCACCCCTCACACTGACACATCCCCTCATCCCCTACCCTTGGCTGAGCACATCTACCTGCGAGCTAGCATCTCCGCATTTTCTCTTCCAGTCATCCGCCCGCGCCGCGCGCCATCACTGGGCGTCTAGTGCAGCCACTGACAGAGCTATTCCGAAGGAGTGGTCGACGCCTCGCCTAGAGTTCGGGTGGACTTGCGCACTGCTTAGCCCTGAGGGGGGAGTGTGTGTGAGGTGGTGTAATGTTGTCCCGTTTCAGGCGGCAAGTCAGGGGATTAGCCGGGAGGATTCGGCAGCTCAGCCGGGGGCTGAGCGTCTGCAGGCAGCCTTCCGCCCGCGCCGAAATTCACAGCCCTCCCGGGCCGACGGGGTGCTCCTTGGATCGGGCCCCGCTCCCCGCTTTTCCTGTACCTGGACTGTCCGGGTTAGGAGGGTGAGAGTATTGGGTGGGCGAGGGCAGTACATCTGGCGGGTGGCGATTGAGGGACAGCGTGGGTTGATTGGGGGGTCAATGGGCGCGCGGGCGGCGCTTCGTGGTCCTGGGCGAGCAGGGGAAGTGGTTAGGAGTCTGGGCCCAGAGATGAGGATTGTCGAGATGTCATGCGAGAGCGGTGGGTGGGCGAAAGTACTAGTAGCGCGGCTGGAGAGTGGTGTCCGAGGGACAATGGTGAGTTGTCAGTTGGGGCGCGAGACGCGCGGGAATCATACTGTGTAGGGTGCTGATTGTGAGCTGAGTGCATGGGTGTATGGGGTTCAGAAATTTGTGGCGTCGAGGTTTGTGCATTGGTGGCTGGCGTAGCGGTCAGAGGTTCGCCTTCGGGCCGGTTGGCTGCGGGTTCGAGGCCGGGCGGGGGGGGAGGGGGGGGGCACACCTCACCCTCACCCCTCACCATCCTCAAATCCTCGAATCATCGAGATCATCGAGAGCGTCGTGAGCGTTGATTCTGTGCTGATTTTTGCGCGCGAGCGTCGCGATTTTTGGTCTGTTTGGTCCGTCGTGGCCGGTGCGCGGGAAACTCGCCGAAAACCCGCGCAGCCGGCCGATTGTACGACCGAGGTCGCTGAGCCTTGGCGACGCGGCGCGCGCGTCGCCAAGGAGTTCGTAAAATGTCAGAGTTTTTTCGTGGAACCACATGTCACGGCTACTGCCGGCTCGACCCCACGATAGCCTCCGAAGGCTGACTTTGAGGCACCATCATCGGACGATGTCGACGAGTTGGGTCGCTCTCGCGGTAGCCAGATGACCTCCCATGCTAGTACCATCGGCTAGGGTCGCAGGAAGCGCGGGGGAGGGCGCTGGGAGCAACACGGAGCTCCGTTGGACGTTTTCAAGATTAGCGTGTCAGAGTGAAATGGAACTAGCCAGAGTGAGGTGTTCGGACTGAGCGACGGCAGGACCTTTGAAATAATAAACTGCGACGTCCGTGAGGCCCCTACGGCCGGTGGCAGTGAGTGGGTGATTGGAGGGCCATAAACTACCATCACGCCGCCCATCGGACCCCTCCTCCACCCCAAACACAGTCCAAACCGGGGCCCCGGCGGCGGCCGGCGCGGCGGCGGCGACGCACGCCGGCGAAGCCGACCATCAAGCTGCTGTACGGCCTCGGCATCGCCTACCCAGGCTTAGCTAGATTGAGACATATTGTGCACACGGTCTGTTACTACAATATATACACTAACACTGTACCTCCCAGAGCTCATCCCGCTCCATTACGGCCATCCTCGTCCTCAGGCGCCGGGCTCCGCCGGCCAGTCGCCCGCCAGATCCGGCTTCGTCGGAAGGGCGTCGTCGCGGAGCACCATCGCCGCTGTCGGCGCTCCTGCGGCGGTCCGGGGGCACGTCTGGGTGGCCAGGGGCGGGGGTCGAGCCGTGAGTGCTCCGCCGGGGCGAGCTTCTGGGTCCATGGCACCGCTGCCGGACCCGTCCGAGAGCCTTTCCGGACACGTTCGCTCGATGGCCTAGCTGGCGGCCGATATTCGACAACCAAAGCTCCGGACGCCGCGGCCAAAGATCCGCGCACAGTCACAGGGCTCGTGGTGAGTGTGGGGTGTGCCTCACGAGGCGGAGAGGCCGCGTGAACTCCCGTAGAAGCTCGCGAAGTGCGGATTTGGAGCGCCGCGCCGGACCTCCGCCGGGGCCCGCCGGGGCCACGGGAGAGGTCAGAAATCGTTTTGGGGGGTAGACTACTACAAACCGGTCACGGTCCCGTCCAGTTTAGTCCCTTGGCCGGCCCTGGGCCGCTCGGCACCGCGCGGGGGTGCCGTTAAGCGCGACCCTACCGGGATTTTCAGTGGTCGATTTTGCTTTTTGCTTTTTGGCCAAAAAGCCCAATGTGGACTCTTCTCTCCCCGGGGCCCGGGCTCGTAGCTGCTCACACATACACGCAAGCGGCTTGGGAAGCGGGACAAAAACGGAGCTCATCGTCCTATAGACACGACGGCCCACACGCACGCACAGCACGGAGAGTCTGCCGCCATGCGCTCTACTCTTCTAGGGTGTGCCGGAGGGCGTCGAGGAGGGCGTCCTCCTGCCGCTCTAGCAGCTCCTGCGGTGGGGGCGGGTCTCGCAGCGCAAAAAGCTCCTCCCGAAGCGCAAGCAGCTCGGCGGGCAGCGCCTCGTCGGCTCCATCGAGGTGCCGCCCTCCGACCACGGCCTCATCGTGGTCGGCGTGCACGGCGTAGTCGGCCTCATCGTAAGAGAGGTCGTAGCTGAAGGCCTGGGCCGGCCGCGCGCCGGCAGAGGGCGAGCGCAGCGTGTCCGCAGGGCTTGGAGCTATCGGGCTCACGGCTTCGGCGCGCCGCCTCCACCCGTCTGACCTGCCGTCAAAGCCTTGGCCCTCGTATGCCCCCTCGTCCGTTACCGGGCGGCCAGTGAGCAGGTCCAGCTTCTGCGGCTCGAGGTCGCGGGCTGGAGGCGGCCCGTATCCGTAGTAGTCGTCGTTGTAGCCGCCAAAGCCAGCATAGCCGGTGCGCTCTGCGCCGTGTCGATAGACCTCCGGCCCGCCCATCGCGTCGAGCATGCGCCTCCTCGCCGCGCTTCGCTCGCGATGGCAGGCCTCCGACGCCGGCCCATCGGCAGTCGCGGCGGCGACCGGGCGCTGCGAGGAGGGCGTGCCCTGCCTCGCCAGCCAGAGCGCCCTCGCCTCCGCCTCGGACAGCGGCTCGGCCTGCCCGACCAGCAGCCTCGCCGCGCGGGTTCTCGGCGCGGCGCGACCACACCCGGGCGAGAGCAGCAAGAGCATTTGCAGGCGGTCCGCCCGAACGCTCTCTCTCGAGGTTCTCGAGGTGGATCGCCTTGGGGGCTTCGCTTCACTCCACAAAGGAATCTCGTGGAGGAAAAAGAAAAAATATCCGCGGCTTATTTCTTTTTGACCCGGTGCGAACCAGCGCATTCCCGGGTAAGGGCGCACGTGGCGTGCACGCAAAGATGCCGCTGATGCTGCCGCTCCTCCTGCTCCAGCATGCGGCTCTGCCCGAGATGATGACGCGCGAGGAGCGGGTCTCGCTTCGCGAGGAGGCGATCGCTCCGCTCCGCAGACGCCTTTGCGGTTGCCGCCGCTCCGTCAGCCCGCCGCCCTCCGCCAGCAGGTGCGAGCGCTCTTCCACCACGGGTACGACAGCTACATGGCAAACGCGTTCCCGGCCGACGTGCTGCTGCCTCTCTCGTGCACGGGCAAGGACGGGTGGGGCAGCTTCTCGCTCACGCTGGTCGACACCCTCGACGCGCTCGCGCTGCTCGGGAACCGCACCGAGTTTGAGGCGCGTGTGTGGTGGGTGGTGGAGCACCTCTCCTTCGACGTGGACGAGACGGTCTCCCTCTTCGAGACGACCATCCGCGCGCTCGGCGGCCTGCTCTCGGCCCACCTGCTGGCCGCCGACCCGCAGTTGCGCCTGATGGAGGCGCCGTACGATCCGCACGGCGGCCTGCTGCTCCTCGCGCTCGACCTGGCCGAGCGGCTGCTGCCCGCGCTCGACACGCCCTCCGGCATCCCGTACGGCTCGATCCACCTGCGCGACGGCGTCTCTCCCACCGAGTCGACCATCACCTGCACCGCCGCCGCCGGCGCCTCGCCCTCCTCGCCCTCCTCGCCCTCCTCGCCCTCCTCGCCCTCCTCGCCCTCCTCGCCCTCCTCGCCCGCACCGCCCGCACCGCCCGCACCGCCCGCACCGCCCGCACCGCCCGCACCGCCCGCATTGCACACCGCACGGGTCGCACGGCGCCGCGCCCCACCGCAGGCACGCTCGCCCTCGAGTTCGGCGCGCTCTCGCGGCTGACGGGCGACCGCCGCTTCGAGGACGCCGCGCTCCGCGCCGCGCGGGCCATCTGGGGTGTGAATAGGAGGTGTGAATAGGAGGTGTGAATAGGACGCCGCGCTCCGCGCCGCGAGGGCCATCTGGCGGCACCGGTCGCAGCACGACCTGCTCGGCGCGCACGTCGACCTGCGGACGGGGGCGTGGACGCAGCCCGACGCGGGGGTGGGGCGCGGCATCGACTCCTTTTACGAGTACATGCTCAAGGTGATGCCTTTCCCTGAGAACGCACACAAACAACGCCTCGTGTGTAATGCCCCCTGTGTTCCGCGAGTGCGTGTGCCCCGTCGTCCATGCTAGGACGTGTGTAACACTGACTGACTGACTGCTCAAGGCGCACATGCTCCTCGGCGGCGCAGAGTACCTGGCCGCCTTCCACGACGCCTACCGCGCCGCCGGCCGCCACCTCAAGCACGGCGCGTGGTACATCGACGTGCACACGTCGACGACCGCGGTCACCTCGCCGCTCTTCAACTCGTTGCAGTGCGCCGCCGCCCCGGCCCGCACGCGGCCTCCACCCGGGGCGGCGCCGCCTTCGGTCCCGTGCACACACACACACACACACACACACACACACACACACACACACACACACACACACACACACACACACACACACACACACCGCTCACCAACGCGCACTGGGCCTTGCACTTTGAATGCCGTGGGGCTCCTGTCGTCAGACGTGGAGACGCGAGGGTCGCCTGGCCCTTGCCCCACCACCTCGTGTGTGTGGAGAAGTTTACCTTACCCCACCTATCCCGTGCGCAGGTGCTTTTGGCCGGGGATGCAGGTGATGGTCGGTGCTATTCACACCTCCCATTCACACCTCCTATTCACACCTCCTATTCACACCTCCCATGCAGGTGATGGTCGGCGACCTCGAGCCGGCGGTCGACACGCTGCGCGCCTTCCACACGCTCTGGCGCCACCTGGGCGTGAATAGGAGGTGTGAATAGGAGGTGTGAATAGGAGGTGTGAATAGGAGGTGTGAATAGGCGCCACCTGGGCGTACACCCGGAGGGCTTCAACCTGGTCAACCTCGAGGTGCAGCAGGGGCAGACGGGGTACCCCCTTCGGCCGGAGCACGCCGAGTCGCTCTTCTACGCGCACCGCGCCACCGGAGGCAGCGAGTGGCTCCGCGCCGGCGCCGACGTCCTGCGGTCGCTCCAGGCTCTCGTGGTGCCGTGCGGCGTCGCCGCCCTCTCTGACGTGGTGAACCGGACAGCCGAGGACACGATGGAGTCCTTCTTCCTCTCCGAGACGCTCAAGTGCTCCCCCTCCACCGCCCAAGCCCTCCCCCAACCCAAGCCCTCCCCAACCCAAGCCCTCCCCACCCCAAGCCCTCCCCAACCCAAGCCCTCCGCCGCCACCACGCGCCACCACGCCACCCCCAACCGCGCGCGCACAGGTACTTGTACCTGCTCTTTGACCCGGACGACGCCGTGTACACGCACGGCAAGTACGTCTTCACCACGGAGGCGCACCCGCTCCCGCTCGCGCTAGGGCTGCACAACGCCTCGCTCTTTGAGCGGCCCTCGTTCGGGTCGTACGGCGGCGAGGGCGGCGTCGAGGGTCACGGCGGCGAGGGCGGCGTCGAGGGGAGGGAGAGCCGCGGCGGCGGCGCGGCGGACGAGCAGGAGGAGTGGATCCTCGCCTCGCTCCGCCCCGGCCTGGAGGAGGGCGAGGCCGTGTCGGCGGCGGAGGAGGTGGAGGCGGCGGCGGAGGCGGCGGCGGCTCAGGCGGAGGCGGCGGCAGAGGCGGCGGCAGAGGCGGAGGCGGCGGCGGAGGCGGAGGCGGAGGCGGAGGCGGAGGCGGAGGCGGAGGCGGAGGCGGGGGAGGCGGCCGAGGCTGCAACAGAGGAGGCTGCGGCGGGGGAGGGCGTGGCGGCGACCGCGGCGGCGCGCGCTGAGGTGGCCGGCGGCATCGCGCTCCGAGCTGCCGAGACCAAGCTGACGGGCGGCGAGGCGGCGCGGGCCGCCCGGCTGCCCCGCCCCTCCGACCTTCTGGGCAGCTGCGCGCTGCCGACCGCGGCGCAGCGCGCCGGCGTCTTTGGGGACGAGCCGGCCGGGTCCAACACCAAGGCGCACCTCGCCGAGCACCTCGCCGGCCACGTGCGGGAAAGGGCGCAGGAGCAGGCGGCGGCGCAGCAGCGATCCCAGCGCCGGCAGCAGCGGCAGGCGCAGCGCAAGGGGCAGGAGGGGCAGGGGCAGGCAGGCAGGCAGCAGGACGAGGCGTCGGACGAGGCGTCGGACGAGGCGTCGGACGACTCGCAGGTGGCGCTCGCGCCGTACCGCGGCGCCCTCCGGCTGCTCGCCTCACGGGCGGCGGTCCAGCCCGCCAAGTTCCTGCTCTGGGGGGGGGCGCCGCCATCGGCTGCCGCGCCTCTCGCCGAGCTCCTCCGTTTGTACGAGAGCGAGGCTGCCGGCAACAAGGACGCAGCCGCACCGTCCGTGTCCATCGCCAGGAAGTGCGCTTCTCACGCCGACTGCTTCGCCCTGGGCCTCACTGGAGATTGCTGCCCGACCACCACCGGCGTGTACATCGCTTGCTGCGGCAAGCCGCCGCCAGCCGGCGGCGGCCCCACGGCGGCCTCCAGCCACCCGCTGCATGGCATCGATTTCGACGCCCTGATCACGCGCCGGCCCGACCTCGCCGAGCCGCTTGCGCGCGCCAGAGACGCGTTTGCGCTGCGCCGCTCGGCGGCCGTGGCGAGCGACGAGGGCGCGGGCGCTGCCGCTGGCGGCGGCGCCACCCGGGCCGCCGGCGGGGGCGGCGAGGGTGGCGGCGAGCCGGAGCGCGACCAGGTCCGCGCAGAAAGCAGCGTGGTTGGGAAGGGGGAGACGGCGGTGCTGCGTGTGGGGCCGGGCGGGCTGAGGCTGAGCAGCGGGCAGGAGCTCTCGGCGGAGCAGGTGGTGCAGATGCAGGGCGTCGGCATCAGCGCGCTCAGTCTGCCGGACCTGCTCACCGCCCTCGGGGCAGTCGACCCGGCCACGGGCGAGCCGGCCGGCGCGCTGGACGGGCACACGCTCGTGGCGCTCGCGCCGGAGGCCGCGCGGGCGAGGCCGGCGGAATCCGCGGGCAGGCGAGGGGGGGCGGCCGATCTCGCCGCGGGAGACCGCGTGAGGGTGCGGCGGCGGCCGCGGCAGGAGGGCGGCGGCGGCGGCGGCGGCGGTGGCGAGGGCGGTGGCGAGGGCGGCAGCGACGAGGGCGGTGGCGGTGAGGGCGGCGGCGAGTGGTTCTCCGACGCGACGGTGCGCGCCGTCGTGCCGTCGGTCCACTTTGCGAGCGGCGGGCCGTGGATCGGCGTCGTCCTCGACGAGCCGGTTGGCTTGCACGACGGGGAGGTGCGCGGGCGGAGATACTTCAGCTGCGCCCCCGGGCACGGTTTGGTGGTGCGCGCGTCGGCGGTGGAGCGGCTGCCGGAGCGGCGGCGCTCGCTCTCCGAGGAGGCGGCGGCCGACGCCCGCGCGGCGTGGCGGGCGGCCGAGCGGGAGCGCGCCTCCGCGCTCGCCAGAGAGCTCGCGCCCTCGGTGCACTCCGGGCCCAGCCCTCCGGAGCAAGGCGGCCGCGGAGGGGGCGGCGCCAGCGCCGACAGCGCCGCCGCGGCGACGGGCGGCAGCGCGGAGCCCGCCGGCGCGGAGCCCCCTCCCGCCGTTCCGACGTTCGGCGACGTGCCTCGCCTCGTCTTTGGGGCGGAGTCCGCCGCGACGCACTGGTCGGAGCGGTTCGAGGCGCTCCGCCGGACCGAGGCGCTCGCGGCGCAGGCGGCGGTCGCCGCGGCGGGCGGGCAGGAGGCGCCCGCGGGCGAGGCGATGGGCAACCTGCTGCAGCGGCTCTTTGGAGGGCTCGGCCATGTGGTGCAGCAGTTCCGCGGCGCGCCCGAGGCGGCCGGCGCCAGCGACGACGTGCGGCTCAAGCCGGGCCGGCCGCGGCTGAGCGACACCGTGGAGGTCATCATCGGCGGGTTCAAGGACGGGGGCGACGCGCGGCGCGGCGAGGAGGCGGAGGTGGTGCAGGACGACCGCGACTCCAAGCCATTCATCCTGCGCTTCGCGGACGGCACGCTCGGCAGCCACTTTTACCCCGAGTCGGCGGTGCGGCTGGTGCGGCGCGGCTCCCGCCCCTCCGTCGGCGACGAGGTGGTCATCGGCCGCAGCGGAGACCCCCGCGACGGCCAGCGCGCCACCATCGTGCAGGACGACCAGGACACGACGCCCTACCGCCTGAAGTTTGCCGACGGCACCGTCTCGGTCTCGTTTTACGAGCAGGCGCACGTGCAGCTCGTGGCCGTCGCGGCGGCGGGCGGCGGTGCCGAGCTGGCGCCGCCGCCGGCGGAGGGCGAGCCGTCGGCAGCGCCCTCTCCGCTGCCGGAGCCGGTGTCGGCCGCCACTGCCAAGCCGCAGCCGGCCGCGCGCCCTCCGCTCGCCGCTTGCCCCTACGAAGCGAGCGTGGGGGGGCCGGGCCAGCACCCCGCCGGTGCTCTCGCGCCGCTTATTCCGAGAGGAACCGACCTCGACGGCTGCGTCGCCGTCGAGGTCGGAGCCGCCGGCTCGGAGCCGCCCTCGCGCGCAGCCATCGCTGGCCTGAGCGGGTCCATTTTTGCACAGCTCGCAGCGGAGGAGCCGCAGGAGTGCAGACGGCTCGCGGCGACGCTGGGCGGCGGCTCACCGTCGGAGCACGCGGAGGTTGGCGAGACGTGATGGGGAAGCCAGGGCCTCCCTGCATGTGTGCCATTGTACGAACTCGTTTATTCCCCCATCAACCCGACAGAGATTTGTTTTGCCCGAGACGCGTGGTGCCAGCTACGGCTTTACTCGGGGGGTGTACTTACTTGCTGGCCTGTCGGCGGCGCAGACGGGGTTGCTTCCCCCAGGATTAGTCTTCTCTGCCTGCAGGAACACCCTGACCTCGGGCGGCCGGGTGGGGCTGCGGCTGGAGCTAGCATGGCTCGATAGAGCCGAGACCCCGTGTTGAGGCGGCGCTCCTTCGGGCGGAGCTGTTGAAAGTTGAAAGAACCGTAATAGCCCAAGTCGAAGAGTGCGCGCCGCCCTCGGTATCTGGGTGGCAGACGGGACTAGAGAGGCATGCTGGTGCACGGCTGGGGGCGCGAGCCGCCATCTTGGACTGTGAGGCGAGTATTTGCAACCGGGAGCTCGCCGCCGCCTCTACACCGCCGCCGCCGCCCTCCCGAGGCCGGATAATAGCCCAAGTCGAAGAGTGCGCGCCGCCCTCGGTATCTGGGTGGCAGACGGGACTAGAGAGGCACGCCAGCGAGCACGGCCGGGGGCGCGAGCCGCCATCTTGGACTGTGAGGCGAGTATTTGCAACCGGGAGCTCGCCGCCGCCCCTACAACGCCGCGGCCGCCCTCCCAATGCGTCGAGAGTCGACTCGCGACTGCTGAGAGAGTTCATCCCACCATCGGCACCGTATTCGCCCACAGCACGCCAAGATGTTCATATTGGTCTAGTGCACACATCAGCTCAGCGTGACCAATATCTCCAGCCTCCTTCATCACTTGGCTGCTGCTGGTGGAGCCAACACTTGCAAGTGTGAAGTGAGTGTCAGCGTGTCGGAACTCGGTGGGAGCATCCGTCCTTATTGACGTTCGGTGGCATGAAGCTCTTTGCGCCTGAAGCCTGGAGAGCAGCTCCTCTGCTGCTCACACGCTCTGCACTCTGCACAGATGGCCCACAGCCCACTGTGCGGCTGCCACAGCTGTGACAGCGATGGGCTCGGCCCTCACTGGCCCTCAGTCACTTGTGCTGCGGCTTGTGTGAGCGACACTGCTCAGCGACTGCCGGCACACTGTGAGACCATGGGTGTGAGGTAAAACCACGCTACCAGCGCTTGGTCACATCAGCCCTGAGGTCAGATCCTTCTCCTCTGTTGATGACAACACTTGTCTACTCGCTGGAGCCGAGCAGGAGGGCCCGGCGCACAACCCCTGGTCAACTCACCCTCCACACCCCGTATCCATCTCGCTCTCGGTCTCTAGTCTTGCAGCCCGGCCGCCCCCCCCTGGAAAGAGGGGCTCATCGATGCCCTCTAACAAAGGCCACTACCCTATTGTTAGCATGGGGTGGGCAGAGAAGCACGCACCCCCCCCCCCCCTGGAAGCGATGTGCGCCTGCTCCCGCTCCCTTTAAAACAAAGCAACACTTTTCCAAAGCCATATCAAACACTCAGGGGCGTCGGTTTACCTCTAGTGTCTAGACGGGGTCGCGAGCGCGACCGCTCCAGGTTCCACAGCGCCACTACGAGTGTGAAGCGCGAACGCTCCCTCCTGAGTTTGTGCTGGAGGAAGCAAGGACATCGCGAGAGGCGTCGGTGCACTGGACGTGCAACCAGTGTGAAGCGCAAAACGCTCCGCGTCCTTCGTGTTGCTAGTCATCTATCCTCGAAGGCGGAGAAGGCCTCGGCAAGGTTACACTGTCTCCTCGAAGGCGGAGAAGGCCTCGGCAAGGTTACACTGTCTCCTCGAAGGCGGAGAAGGCCTCGGCAAGGTTACACTGTCTCCTCGAAGGCGGAGAAGGCCTCGGCAATGTTACATACTGTCTCCTCGAAGGCGGAGAAGGCCTCGGCAAGTGCGACCGCCGTGGTGCTTCACTCGCACCAATCTGCCTGCATTTTGACGCCCGCGCAGTCACCGGTGAAGGCGCTAGAGCACACTGTCGAGGACATCTCTTGGCACTGGTCCTCAGTGCCAAGAGATGTCCTCTGGGGTGAGGACGTGGTCATGAGCCAGAACCCAATGTGAATCGCTGTGACGCCACTGAGGTCGATGCCCCAGTTACTTTCGCCAGAGCTAGTCACGGTGAGCTCAAAGCTGGAGAAGAGCGAAGCCGAGTTATAGGGTCCTGGGGTCCTGGCAGTCCCGCCATTCTCGTAACTCTCCTCGTATTCGTCGGTGGTGCAGTAGAACATTGGTGGCGAGTCAGCGGCATTATTTCCGTTGTCCGTGAAGACTCTCTGCGGGGTCTGTGAAGACCCTTCGCCGCACGACGTCTCGCTCTCCGAGTTCCAGTAGTTTGCCTCGTACACGACTGTGCTCGGGGGGTAGCTTTCGCCCGACGGTGACCCAGTAAACGAGTAGTCATCGAAAAGGCACGAGGCCGCGTAACACTCGTGAGGCTCAGGCGTCCTCACCTGATTCGTCATTTCACCTTTCGCCGTCAGCCTCACATTGATTGTTTTGCCCTTCTGCACAATGGTCGCACCCTCGAGGTACGCGGCTATGCCACGCACGAACACATCGTCTTTGTCCGTCGACAGCTCCGGTTTTTGACGCATGTAGGCCACAGGAAAGTCGATCACGAGCTTGCCAAAGCTCGGGCTGTCAGGGTCCGAGAAACTCTTGAGCTGCGCCTCTGTAATGTAGGGCAGGGTGTATCCGTCCGATACTAGCATCCCATCGTAGTACACGGGCTCGACCCGCGGTGGCTCCGTGCAGGTCAAGGTCTCGTATCGGCTCACGCAGCACGTCTCGTCCTCGGCGAACCCCCCATCGACAGTGGCGTTGAAGGCCTGGCATTCTGCGCCCGAGGCAGGGAAGCATTTGAGCACAGCATCGATGTCAAGCGGGTCGCACTCAGAGTCAAGGCAGGGGCAATCCGATGTAACGCAGCTCGTCATGTTGGTGACGAACGATGGCGGATCGAGCGGTGTGCAGGACGCGTTGAAGACCTCGACCTAAGGTACCATTTTACGGGTGGTTGTGTGTGTCATACGTGTGTGTGTGTGTGTGTGTGTGTGTGTGTGTGTGTGTGTGTGTGTGTGTGTGTGTGTGTGTGTGTGTGTGGCAGCTGGGCTTGCCTTGAGTGCGACAAATGGGTAGCTAACAGCCTTCTGGATGAAGGAGTCTTCTCCTCCCCAAAGCACTCGATCGACGTAGCAGTTGACAGCCTGCGAAAGGTTGTTGATCGTCTCGTACGGTGCCAAATACGCGTTTGCCTCCTTAATGAAGCCTGCCGCGTCGCCGCACGGATCCAGCTCCATCGGAGCCAACGGTGGGAGTATCCCAGCCGAGAAGTTGTAGCAGAGCTGCTGAAGGGGATTCTTCGTAGCGGTGCTGCTCGCCACACAACGCTGAAAGAGCCCGGTGGTTTGGTAAGAGTAGCTCTGACAGAGTTGGAGGGCGATTGCCTGCATCTGGAGCCCCAGGCCTGTGACCACGACAGCCTGCGTGCTCTGCTGAAGAGCGAAGTAGCCGTCCGGGACCGCTTCGTCGAACGCGGCTGCGATTGCATCGTTCGCCGTGCGGGAGATGTTGATCGTCTGAGCATCGATGAGGTACTGCTGCAAGCCTCCAACGTAGCGCATCCCTTGATTGACGTAGTCGTTCCCGTAGTCCTTCTGCGCGTCGATCAAATCGATGATGTGTTGGGCTGCGCCGTTGATGCTCGTGCTGTACCCCGTCCTGTGCACGGGAGGACGGGAGGGGTATACGAGCGGACGGCCACATTAATTGGGCCAATTACACAAGGCGCACAGGTACTCGTTGTACTCCTCCTTCATCGATGCGTAATACTCCGTCCAGAAGCCCCAGCCCATCGTCGGCAGCTCCTACGGCGGTAGTAGGCTGATGTGTTTGACGATGCTATGACGGGACCCTGGGAGAATAGAGCAAATTCTATGCCTGGTTGAGATTGTCGAGAGCCGCTTGGAGCGAGTCCATCTCATCGCCGTCTGGGATGTCGCAGTCCGCTGGGCTGTCGCAGCCGGTGCTCGGGAGCAGCACGTCGTTATCCGCGAGGACCTCCATCAAGTCGTACGTCAATTCGACGGAGTCGTCCGAGGGAAACTTGTCGTTCGCATCGTCGTCGCTGTTGGCCGATACGAGTGCCGATGCTGCAAAGCCCATGGTCTTGGCATTGTTCGCGACCATTTCCGTAAAGAAGCCGACAGCGGAGACGGAGTCGGCGCCTTTCTTCCACTCCGAGCTTCCGGCCGCCCCACCTGTCCCTGCTGTGTATTCCATCATATTTGCAAAGGTCCGCACGCCGCCGGTGCAAAGGTTCGCGACTCCGAAAGCAAGGTCCCAGATGGCCTCCCGACGTTTTGCGGCGTAGTACTCGTCGAGGGCGTCCTGAAAGTCAAATCCGGCTTGAACAATTGTCGCATTCAGGCGCTTCATCGCTTTGAGCGCGTAGGACATGCCGGACGCGGCACTCTCGATGGTGTCGATGGTCTGGCCCATGCTCACCATCGTGGTTGACTCCTCGGCTTTCGCATCGATAGCGTCCTTTTTGTTCATGAGCTCGTTGATCTCGAGGAGCGTTTCCTTCGTCTTCATCTCTTGGATGAGCGAGTTGAATTGCTCGAAATACGAGCCCAGCTGCTCTCCATAGAAGTCCAGGTTGAAGCTCGGAACATAGCCGGAGGAGTTGCTCTGCAAGATCCCCTGCGCCCACACGTTGAGGGCGTTGCTCGCCCATTGGATGGTCGCGATCTGAGTATCGACAAGGCCAGCTGAGCTGTACGTGTCGTCGGCGAGATAGCCGTCCAGGCCGTTCGTGTAGGCGACCAGGCCGTCGACCATGTAGCCCAGCTGCCTCTTCGCCTCGCCCACCTGCTCGAGCGGCGCACCCTCGCCCAACCCCTCAAAGATATGTGCGACGCGGAGCCTGAGACGAGTAGACGAGGTCGGTAGCGTAAAGGTTGAGGTCAAGTGTGCAGCCATCGGTTGCTACTTTGCAGCTC